TATATATATATATATATTTATATATATATATATATGAAATAAATGTCTTCATCTTTCAATGCAGAAAATAATAATCACAGCAATCTGCTGCCTCATTATTGCGTGCAGTTTCTCTTGCGTGAGCGCGCCTCTGACGTGCGTTTCCCGTGATTCCTACGTCATCACGCTGCCAGCTGATCGGAGTGGGAAGCCGGCTTGTGCGTGTCGACTGGGCGTGTGAATGTGTGTGAGATATAGAGGGAGGGAGGACTGGGACAGACAGGAGTTGTGTAAAAAAAAGAAAGAAAGAAGGAAAAGAGCAGAAGAGGCTGAAGTCCTCCGCTGCTTCCTGCTGCCGCTCCGGCGCTGAGACGCGCCTCAGACACCGAGTCCGACCTTTAAGAAGCCTGCCTGCGTGAGCGTGAAGGAAATCCACAGACACACCCTGGAAAGCTCCAGGGAGGACTCAGCGGTGGGCGAGGCGGAGAACCCAACTTCAGCCGAGGGTTCGGGATGATCCAGGAGGCGCTGAGGAGCAGCGAACCGAGCCGGTGGTGCTGAAGGTGGGGCTGGATGAATCTGTTCCGTCTGCTCGCTCCTTTCAGCCTGCTTTAGCCCTAACCGGCCTCATGACCCACTTTGCGTTCATATATTCTGTTAAAAACGCATTATTCATCTATTATTCCCATCTATACTCTAGATTAATGTTAAGATGTCTTTATTTCTGACACTCTGCGCTTCGTGTGGCTTTAGGTGGGATGTTTTAGGAGTTCTGGTTGAAGGCCTGCTGCTTTCCACCCAGACCCTTTAACTCTGTGGCGCTCTGATTTATAGCACCAAAAAAAAATCACTCTTTCAGTCTGGAAATACTGTAAACTCACTCTAAAATCATCTGAACTACAATTGTCAAGAGACTTCTTTTCATTTTAACTAATTTTACCCTCAAATCCACTTGTTTTACAGAAAAAAAAATGTCAAAGGTGTAATTATCTCTTAATAACTCCAGATCTGAACGTCACACATAGAAAGCCTGTGTTTAAATAAAGTTATAATTCAAGCTGGAAGTGTTCTCCTAAAGATCAATCCTGGACATCAAGAACCTCCATCTCAAGCTTCCTTAAAAATTTGCTGAGTTCATGAAGGCCAAAGAGGAAGCCTGCGCTCAAGTAGGCGATAGGTGAAAATCAGAACTGAAGCAGTCATTTCTCAGAAATGCAGTAACACTAGAGGTTATTTGGCAGGGATGGGAAATTCTTCAAATTTATTTGGATGTTTATGAGTAACATGTTCTGGAAGCAGGGGACTGAAAGTATTTAACCCTCCAGGTCCACCTCGGTGCTCTCCGGAGACATTTCCAAGGCAAAATGCATTCATAGGCTGTTGTTCTCTGGTTCAAACGGTTTTGGAGGAAAGCTTCATGATGTGCACGTTACATAATTGTGCAGCTAGAGTTCAGTGTGCTGGTAGGAATGCGCAGTAGACTGTGTCACAAGCTGCATTTGTGCCATTGCTGTCCGGAGCGTGACGTAATCCGTCCACCCTGTCAATGAGGATCATATGCCAACGACAGGATGTCAGTCAAAGAGCAGCTCATCCTGCCAACATGTGCTGTTTTCCTTCGCTGCTTCTGTTGCTCTCATATTTTATTTTTTTTTGCAGAAGTGAAGCCATCTTGCTCAACTTGAGTTCCACCCTTTGATTCCTATTGCGTGCCTTGTCATGGGAGAATGGGGTAAGAAGGGATGTGTTATGCAGGCTCAATTAAAAAGAGGAAAAGCAACAAAAGAAGGAGTAGTGTCAAGCCAAAATGGCACCGACTGCCTGAGGACAGGCTTTTTGGCCTCATGCAGCGTCACTAATTCAAGACAGCATTCAGATAGTCAAAACACAAGCTTTATTTGTTGTGATCTCAGGATGAAAGTCTTGGAAACCTTGAGCACCAGAGTGTAAAGAAGAGGCTCTCCCTGGCCCGTAAGCCTCCGCCCTTTCTCCGTCTTTGTCCCTGTTCTCATTATGAAACATCCAGTCTGTTATAGAAACTCCAATCTAGGACACGAAAAAGCTCTCCTGACTGGGCCACACCCAGACAGAGGAATCTACCTGGATTCAGCGTTTCATTATTGAGTTTTTTCCATTCGCAGTGCTACAGCCGCATTATGCAAAAATCTGTTCTCCTTTTCACGCGTTCCCCTTTGCAGCTTCATTGCTGACGTTTATGTAACAAAGCTGCACTGCATTATAGTTAGTCTAGTATCGCAGGCTTTGCAGAGGTATTTAGCATGTTGTTTTTATTTAATTAAATACCCGAAAATAAGAATAAATGCAAATCTGTTTTGCAAAAGCTTCTGAGAATTGTTCAAAACCTCCACTAAACAAAGGCCAGTAATAAAGTTTTTTCAGACTAATATATGCCAGTTAATACTCTTCAATTTATCATAAAAAAATTGAAACGATTGCAGCGCACTCTCCAGGGCGTGGCCATCCAGCAAACAGTTTACCACAAAGATAATAACACAGGTATGCCCATCATGTGAGGTCAAAAGAGAACTTTTTTTGGTTTTCCATAACCAAAAACTAACGCGGCACTTCACCCTTACCCTCTCTGAAACCATGGTGGTGGCAGCAGCATGCTGTGGGGATTTTCTTTCAGAAGGGACAAAGAGAAGGGAAGGAAATACAGGATGAAAACTGGCAAAAGACTGGAGGCTCATCTTTCAGCAGGATGTGATTCTTAACATACAGCGGAAGGATTTCTATCATCATAGACATGTGATTCCCGAACAGCTCAGCCGAAGTCAATGGCTACGCTTTAAGGAAGCTATTTTTCATTCATTTTCCTCCCTCTTTCCAATTATCTTCTTTTTTGTGTGCATCTCTTGTATATAATCCCAACTCCATTCAAATTTGTAGAACCAGAATAGAACAAAGTGGGTGTTGATTTTGATTAAAGCTAATTGAACACATTTAGTTGCTCCAGCTGTTTGTTATTGCCTCCTCTCATTTGCCTTTTAGGGTTATGTCTGTGGTAATCCAGTTTCAAGAGCTGTAATGTCAGTAGTTTCCTCTTCGTTTTTGTACGTCATCATTCCTATTTTCCTCTGATGCACACATCCTGCTTGTTTGGCCTTCCTCTTTCACTGCTCTTGCTGTGGCCTCCATAAACATGGCTTTTGTCATCAGACTGCGTGTTGTCTCCCTCTATAACAGCCTGTCTCAAGGCCTTCCACGCTGCTTGTCGTGTGACTCTGCTCACCTCGATGTTTCTTCACAGACAGGGTGGGGGGTTGATGAGGGTCTGGCTGGTTGAGAGTAAGACAGATGTAGAGAGGGGATGGAAAAGGAGGAGCGAAGATTGCTTCAGCCCTCAGCAGCCGGGTGGAATTTCTAACATACGCAGTTGGAATGTCAGGAATGCAGGACAGTCTGATCTGACCAAGAGAAGGTGGAGAGGACAGACGAGCCAGTGAGGACAGGGGGGGAAAAAATGAAGATAGTGGAAAGAGTGGCACCGCAGAAGGCCAGGCTGTGCATAGTTAACGTCTGCGAAGGGAGCGCCACTTCATGGAACAAATAACCAATTCAGCTTCAGTCCGCGGCGGTGGCAGCGAATGGTTACGACTCTCAGCGGCCTTCAGGATGTGTTCTGTACGTCCTCATCCCTGACCTTATTCAAGGGTGTCAACGCCTTCTCATTCTCAAAGGATCACATGCAGACGCTTGGCTGCTCCAGTCGGCCTTCAGCGCAGCGGGGTGTCCTCCTGGTGCTCGTTATGGTGCAGAGATGGAAGAAACCTGTGAAAATGCTACTCTTCAGTGCTTTGATGTCAAGGCTAATAAGCTGCTCAGATGGGAGCTGAGCAGAGTCCCCAGAAACTAAACTCATGATCATCTGTTGAACTGCTGGATTTACTTTTCTCATCATTCTATATTCTACTGAGTTTGATGAACCAATGAAGTCTAAAACAAGGTGGGAAATTTTATGTTGGTATTTTCCAGGTAGGGAGATGTAGGGAGGGAAAAAAAATTTCCAACTTTTTTCACTATTCCATTTGTGTAATATTGTATTCCTATTTTTTTATGTTTTTCTTTCTGTGTCCTTTCTACGATTTATATGCATGACTCCTTCCTTTCTTCCTTCCTTCCTTCCTTCCTTCCTTCCTTCCTTCCTTCCTTCCTTCCTTCCTTCCTTGCTTTCTGTAAATTAACCCATTTAAACAAATTAATATCTGAGTGTTTTATCTCCTAAATATCTGAATTAATGCATTACAGCTTAAAGTAAAGTTGAAAATTATCGGTTGCATCTGTTTACATGTGATGTGTGTCTGCAGATGCAACCGATAATTTCAACTTTACTTTCTGCATTAATTCAGATATTTAGGAGATAAAACACCCAGATATTAATTTGTGTTAATGGTTTAATTTATTTAAAACTTGTACATTTATTATTATAAATAATAAATACATATATAAATAAAATGTATATAATGACCACTTAACCCATTTAGCCCTTCACCCACTGATGGTGGTGTGCTACAGTGTTCCCATAGCTGCCCTGGGGCACACTATGATGGTGAGACATGAATGGGCTTGAACCGGCAACTCACTGGTTGAAGGACAAACTCCCTTCTCCTGAGATGCTAGGCATGCTTCCATTATTCAACAAATTGTGCAGA